ATATTAATAGGCTACTAGGGTTTGAAAACAGTATGGAAATTTTCATTATTCTTGCTAGCACAAGAAAAGAAAACCCTAGCCGTCATTCTTGTTCTCTGTGTGGATCACCATTGGAGGCTGGACAATTGGACAGTTTGGATTGCAGATCTTGATCATTGGAGTTCAAGAAAAAGCAAAAGAATTTGTGGAATTCATCAAAAGTATCATTCTCATCACAATTTCTATTTAAACACATCGTAGATCCTCGTTTGGGAATTAAAAATTGTTTTATTTCCGCTGTGCATACTAAGTAAATTCCCAACAAAGAGAAACATGTGAATGCGATCAAGAGAATCAATGAATAAATAAAAAGAATCATGCTACTTGTAATCCCACATTCGCCCTTACAACCATTATAATCCAAATAAAAAACCTTGATAACATGAAGATTGATTGGTCAAGTTTCTCTCGAGAGACTGAAAAACAAAAATGCTAGAGATTTTTTATTTTTTCTTTATTTTATTTTATTTTTTTTTGAAGAAATTACAACAATTATGTGGAATCAGTAGGTTTAATAAATTTAATGACATTATATCGAAAAGGAAATAATACATCAAACAATAAATAACTTTTTTGTTGATTGAAGTTAGCAATATGTAATTTATCTATGTTGACACTAAGGATAAATTTACCCAAATTGTAGGGTACTTTGTTTGCACTCCATTTTCTAATAATGAAGGAGAAAGAGTTTGGCAAGCTGATTTTCTAATGAATTAAGATTGTTATTATACCTTGTCTTGAAGCCTCTAGTTTAAAAGTATTTGAAAATGTAAATTAAACACGCCCTTCAAGTTTTTACAGCAGTTACATTTATTCATTGAAATATATACTTAACATACCCATTCACCCACAACTAGATTTAACATTTAAGGTTTGACACGAGCACAATTTTCTTAAAGAAGTTGAGAATACACTTGAATCCAAAACTTTAACGTGCTCTACTATCATCCTGAATAACTTTATCTAAAAACTTTATATATCATAGAGTAGACACATTTATTTAAATTTAGTCCACGTCAAATTAAAAAATGCAAGGAGCATCTTACAAAGAAAAAGACATTTTACATAAACAGCAAATATCTGTACAAAACCATTCTTGTGAAGACCAAAATAATATACATACAATTACCTCATCCACATGTACAACTCTTGAAATGAGGAAGAAAAACTTTCCTCATTGACTATGGACAAGATTTTAACTTATTTTTCTTCCTCAATACCGTCCAGTATTGTATAATCTAGTTTAATAAACACACTATACATGTTGGCAAGTTTTTGTTGATGCTTGCCATAAAAGAGGTTTTTCAATGTCTTCTATGTTGTCCTCTAATACCGGACGTTGTTCAATGTTTCCTGTGTTGTCCTCTGATACCGTGTTGGATGGAGCATCTAGTTTTAGAGTCCAAGCAAAACACAAGGAGATGACCTGATACAATTGTGTATCATTAGAATCATATAAGTCAAAACAAGACTCAATTGGGATCTTATGAAGGATAGTAATCTCAGTTTAATAGTAATCAGTCAAGACGACTCTCAAATGAGAGTATATAATCAGATCAGTCACAACAAGATGCTCCGACAAAATCATATGATCCTCACATTAGAACAGTACGATCCTCATATTAGAACCAGAACCATATGATCATACAAGTCACTTCAAGTCCCTCATATGGGGATCATATGATTGACAATTGCAACAATAATGATCATATCAGTCACATAGAGACTTTCAAATGGTGTTTTATTATCCTATCATAAGAATAATATGATTGTATCAGTCACAACACGTCTCTCAAATGAGATTCTACGATCATATCAGTCATAAGAAGACTCTCAAATGTGATACTTACATGCATGTGCCATGTTTTGAGGATATGCACAAGCTTACCATGCTTATAGATGCAAATATAATACTGAAGCCTTTACAGTCAAAAGGAGCATTGCTGGATAGGAACCATGCTGGAATAAAATGAAATCAAGAGCAAAGCAAGTTCAGTTGAAATGGTCGTGATCTTTCTGCAAGAGGGGTAGAAATAGAAAAGCTAACTCACTGGTCAATGGAGTCATTGCGAGTGGAGATAATAAACTTGCAATGGATTGCACGCCAGCAACAAATATTTTTGCATTCCCCTGAATGAAGGATGGGGAATATGAGAAAATGAGATATTTTAATTAGAAGCAATCTAGAACAAAATCTTCCGCATTTTGAAGCATCGTATTAATAAACTCTAATTGAAGGGGACATAGGAATCATTTATGTTTAAGGCCCTGTTCAAGACTCTTTGGCATTTCATTATTTTTCTTATGACACAATATTCGAATGTTGAAATGACTAGAGGTCGACTCGGTGGATATGACTTGACAACTGAACTCTGAAACTCTGAAAGAGGATTTAATTAGATCTTGTTTAATTCTACAATTATATGATCTTCTCAGTGCATGGAAATATTAGGACCCTGTTTCGGAGTAATTAAATTTTTTTACAGTAAATCAATTCTAATTTTCAATCACACATTCTTCAATAAAATAATATTTTTCATCACATCAATAATTTTTTCTTTTTCTTCAACCACACATTTCTCATCATATCACTATTCAAAATCAATTCTTCTCCAAAAAATCTCTCCCAAACAAGCTCTAGGTTTCTAGTGGAACAGGTGAGCCATGTTTAAGATTTCTGGAAAGTAGGTATCCTTG